AAAGGAGAGGACTCAGGGGCACGGACAATGGTGGGGGATGGATTGACTGGGGGTGGGCAATGGGGCAGGGGAGGGCAATAGGGAAAAAGGTGGGACAACTGTAACTGAACAACAATAAAAAATAAAATAAAATAAAAAATTTAAGAAATGGCCAGCCAATAGTCATTCTAACTCTACACAGTAAAATAAACAGCCTCTGAATAAATGCCTTTAATCAGTAGAACATGAATATAATGTATGTTATTTCCTTTCATATGATGCTTTTAATCAGCCATAGTACTTGAACTAATTGTATTGTTTATATTGAAAACATGCATAATTCGGTGAAAACATAAGTATACAAAATTCCATTTTGGGTTATTTTTCTTGTTGCCAGATTAATCAATGTTGCCAGATCAATCAATAATTATGAACAAATATTTAGCATTGACTTTTCCTTAGTGACAACTGTATATAGAAAACATTATTTTTTGTTTTAAGCATTATTTTTTAAAATTTAAAACTAAAACATTATGATAGTGCATGTATGCCTTTCTTGAAAGGAACTGGGAGACTTACCATATACTTTGGCTCATGTATTTGAGAAACTTCTCTTGAGTCAGGTGATTTCATTATAAAGATTACTTTTGCATTTTATAATTTGTCCAGCCCCTTCCCTTTGAAGACGATAGGAAAACCTCATAAAATCAAAATCCTCAGGAATCCTGCCTAGCAAATGGGTGACTTGAAATTGTTTATTCCGTAATACATGAATAATATTTTGTTGCAGAAATTTGCATTATTCTTGAACTACTCTTAAAGGATACATGTGTGCTAGATTTGTTTGATTAAATATGAGATTGTTAAAATCTATTTGAATTCATGAGATATAGAGGGAAAACCACCAAACACTTAAACCATATGAGGACATGTCAGACTAGAGGAAGAATGTATGGCAATCACTAATCTTTTCCAGGAGAGTAAAAAGATAAAATTAAAATAATAGCATGGATGGATCTGGAGAGCATTATGCTAAGTGAAATAAGCCAGGTGGTGAGGGACAAATACCATGTGATCTCACCTTTAACTGGAACATAATCAACAGAAGAAAAAGCAAACAAAATATAACCAGAGACATTGACATTAAGAACAATCTAACAATAGCCAGAGGGGAGAGAGGAGGAGGCAGTGGGAAGAAGGGTTTTCAGGAACTACTGTAAAGGACACATGGACAAAACCAAGGGCGAGCGTGGAAGCAAGGGAGGAAGGGGGTTTGGCTGGGGTGGGGAGAAAATGCAGACAACTGTAATTGAACAACCATAAGGTAAAAAAAATAGCTGTTTTCAAATCTCTAGAACTTCAGTTAAAATGATTTTTGAATTATTGAGGATTTTCCAGTTACTGGTAGGGAATAATTGACATCTCAGAATGGTGTAAGAAAATGATAGAAGAGGGGGAGGGCATTATTGTCTAGTTCAACAGAAAGTTGCAGTGTATTACCGGATTCACCAGCCTGTATGTCATCATGACTCAAGATTTAGGCAGGCTTAGTAGTGTTTTCCTCCCACATACATCACACTTTAGTCACTCATTCCTTGTGATACAGCCCTCAGGAGCTTGAGAGTTACATCTTCCAAGTTCAAGTGCGATGGAAAAGATATCACCTTTTTCCTGTTTGCTTAAGTAAAAACTCAAGAGTTAGTTTGATGGGGCTTTGCTGAGTCATGTATCAAACTTTGAGTCAGTCTCTTCTGTGAGGCCTTAGTCACATACCCACTATGTCATACTAATACAAAGTTTTAGATTTGGGAAGGTATGTTTCTTCAATGAGAAACAGAGCAAAAGGATAATAGTTGCTAAGAAGATAAAAAACTTTTTAAAAAGATTTATTTATTTATTTTTAGAGAGGGAAGGGAGGGAGAAAGAGAGAGAAAAACATCAATGTACGGTTGCTGGGGGCTGTGGCCTGCAACCCAGGCATGTGCCCTGGCTGGGAATCGAACCTGTGACACCTTGGTTCGCAGCCCGCGCTCAATCCACTGAGCTATGCCAGCCAGAGCAGAAGATAAATTTTTTTTAAAAAGCCTCTTCTATATTAGGATTACTAGAATGTAGAAATAAAGACATAGTGAAATATATTTAGAATAGATATTTCTCCTCTAAACAAACCATGGTTGGCAGAGTGTCAAAAATATACAGTTTGAGTATTTTATATATTTCTAATTTTCTATCACATTTATGAAACTAAAAATGCAAATTGATTAATTGGTTTGGGGATTGGGTTGTGGTTAGATAGAATAATACCAATTGACTAAATTAATATTTCATACATGTATTTTATTTTTACCCTCGCCTCCTACTTTTTCTTTATGCCTCAGTTTTCTCAGTTTTATAATGGAGATAGCAATGTTCTTGTGCAGCTCTGTTGTAAAATGTAAAAAAGAGACTTTGTAAAACATTCAAGACAACATCTGGCGTATAGTAGGTGCTAAATAAACATTTGATTTAAGTTTTATTAAACAGTTTCCTGTAAGAACAGGTAGCTTAGAGGTGAAGATCTAGCCTCACAATGGTTAGTTGTTTAACTATATCAAAAGAGATATGAAAAGTATTGATACAAGATTTGTGAGGCAATGATAATAAGCAGTTTGGAGAAGAAATATATACTTGAATATTTCAAATGAGTTAAAAGCCTAAAAATAACTGTCATTTATTCTTTTACTTATTTATTAATATCTTTGAATTATTTGAATACTGATCCTTATCAGGCTCTGAATTAAGTTCTGGGATACAGCAATAAATGGACATGTTCTTACCTTAGAAATCTGAAATTTATTGAAAATATATATATTAATGAAAAAATTAAATGCACAATTCAAGCACTGTAAATATGAAAAGGAAATTTGGGACCAAAGGAAAATCAGACAATGTCACAAAATATGTAATAGAAAGAAAAGATGTAGTTATAGAGATAAAAAGAAGCTTTTATAATTAAGCAATAATTGAATTGAGATTTGAAGGAAGAATGTGGATTAATTAGATGAAGGGAGATGTTGGAGAAGGAGATTTTTAAAGAGAGGAAACAGCATATAATATCAATATTGTTATATGATTTTTAAAATGCTTTAATATCTTTAAAAACATAAAATAATAATTGTAATATCAGGTTTTATAATTTTGAAGGTCTTACTACTGGAGATTTCTGGCACTTTGGGCTGTGAACATGATGTCAAGTAGTGTTAACATGGAGGAGCTGGGCAAATCTTAGAGAAGTAAACATGTGCGGGAAAGCAGCTCACTGGTGCTTATAACTATTTGTTATTTAAACTCAAGATTTGTACACATCCTTTTCCTTCCATAAATTTTATACTAGGAAATTTTTAATTTTCTTCTTATTTTATTGTTGACACTATTACAGATGTCTCCCTCCCAACCCTTTGCCCACCTCCACCCAGCATTGTTCCTCCCTCCCCTCTGGCCATCTCCACACTGTTGTCTGTGTCCATGTGTTCATGGGTTACACATATATGTTCTTTAGTCAATCCCTTCACCTTCTTTCATCTAGTCCCCTCCCCCTCCCCTTTGACAGCCGTCAGTCTATTCCATGTATCTATGCCTCTGTTTCTCAATAGGGCATTTTCTGAGGTTGCTTTTTGGAATTTTTCCTCATTCTTTTAAACTAACAGTATTGATTTGCCTCTCATGATATGTGTGGGAAATTTTCTTTAAACTTTTAATTTTGGAAATAGCTGCTTTGAAGCTCAAGCAATAAAATGACACATAAATTCAGTAAAGACATGTCTTTCAGCCTCTTTTCTGGGAATTCAGCATCATTCTGGTATCCTGGAAAACTGGAGGTTGAGAACATCCAGAAATACTATGTCTAACACAAGCATGGATTTCATCTATCATCTATTTACCTATTATCATCTATCTATCTATCTATCTATCTATATCATCTATCATTTATCTATCACCTATCTACATATTTGTTTTATTTATTTATTTTTTCTTTTTTTAACTTTTTCATTGTTGACTGTATTATAGATGGATTTCTTAATTGTTTAGTAATAAATGACAACAGCAAAACTTTTCTCAGTGGTTTTGTAGACTTGTGAATATTTTAGGAGGCCAATGCCTTATCCATTAGGCCACTGGGGCTTCTCAGACCTGCAGATATTTTAAAATGAGAGCAAGACAGTGTAAAAGATCAGAAACTCTGTGATGACTGAAAAACTTAGGACCTGGGTGATAATTTACAGAGAATGATAATCTTAACAAAGCAATATATTATGTATTCAACACAGAGGAAAACAAGAAAATGAAATAGTCATAATTTTAAAATTTGATTAAAAACTTTCATAACTGCCATGTTTTTATCATTGACATATATATCAATATATTACATATACATGAATAAATTATATATATATTAGATAAGTAATCAGGATCCCTCACTGGTTCACAAGTTAATAGTTAGAGTTGTGTTACAGTGTTACAACATACATAACTCATTAGTATTTATTAACATTGATTATTTCAGATGCATGATTATTAATACCTGTGGAGACCAGAGTAATTAAATGTGTGTACTCCACTTAAGAACTTAAATTAAGAATTTAACAGCTTACATTTGACACCAAAAATGTATTAGTTACTTTCAATTCATTTTTACTTTTTTCTACAAAGAGATTTTATTTTCCTTAGTAAAATCATGTGAAACATACTAACTTCAATCCTATTACTATTGTAGAAGGAAAAACTGAATGGCGTTCAGGACATAGGAGATGCTCAGTAATTATGTTGATTGAATGTTGCTGATTGAATAAATGATAACTATTTAATGATCCTACTGCATAGTTCCCTTTTGCTTAAACACATTGAAGAATGTGGAACATATCCAACTGTTTCCTGGTTACTATGCTATAAATACTTTAATGACAATATTGTTGGTAGAGGGATCACAAAACCTGGGGAAATCTCTCTGTACAATAGTGTAAGTTTTATTTACTGTAGCTGGTTTAAGCCATTTGCCTAAGAGAGTTCTTTTGTGCTACCCTTTGAAAGGCTTCCTTCACCTCCCTGTTCCTTAAAGTATAGATAACAGGATTCAGAGCAGGTGTAACCACTGTGTACATGAGTGAAGTTGCTTTGTCTGTTTCTGGAGTGTGTGAAGTCTTAGGTTGGAGATAAGTGAACAAGGCAGTGCCATAGAAGAGAGAAACAACAAGGATATGAGATGAACAAGTGGAAAAAGCTTTCTGTCTGCCAGCTGTTGAAGGGATTCTCAAGATGGTCACAAAAATGCGCACATAGGAGCACAGAATGAAGAAACAGGGACTCATAATAAAGAGCACAGAGACGGCAAACATAACAATTTCATTATGGGAGGTATCAACACAAGCCAGTTTCACTACAGGCATGATGTCACAAAAAAAGTGCTGAATCTTTCCAGTTCCACAGAAGGGCAGAGTAAATATCCAGGTGGTCTGGATAGACTCCACCACTACACCAGTGGTCCAAGATGCTGCAGCCAATTTCAAACACACACTAGGGCCCATCAGGAGAGTGTAATGCAGTGGGTAACAGATAGCTACAAAGCGGTCATAAGCCATGGCTGCTAGCAGGCAGCATTCTGTCAGTCCCAAGATGGTGAATATGTACATCTGAGCAGCACAGCCTCCCACACTTATGGTCTTGGTTTCTACAAGCAGGTGTACCAGCATCTGAGGCACTACACTGGTGATATAGCACATCTCCAGAAAGGAGAGGTTAACCAGGAAGAAATACATGGGAGTATGCAGAGAAGGGGTGATCCAGATCAGGCAGATGATAATGAGGTTTCCTCCCACAGTAAACAAGTAAATAATTAAGAACACAACGAAGAGCACAGGTTGTAACTTTGCTAGCGAGGAAAAAGCCACAAATGTGAATATCGTGCAGAAGGTTTGGTTTCCACTCATAGGCTCAGAGCTAGACATCTGTGGAGATAAAAGAGAGGGCAGATAATACCTAAACAAATCTGGTCATCTGGAAAGGTGAATGACCCTCAGAAAAAGCAGTTTTCTTAGTGGTCTGCCATGAGAACCTTCATACTTGGGTTCTTTTTGTTAAATCATTCTAAATAACTGCTCAATTAAAATAGATGCAGTATTTCTTCCTGATTTTGAATTCTGAATCTTATGATTTTTCTTTTTTCTTTTTCTGATATTCGTATATATACAGGCTGTTATATAAGTAATATATGAAAGGATTAATTGTAAAGGAGTCACATAAAACATAAGTGTATAGAATAAAATGTAGATGTACTATATTCTGGTCTCTAACTTTCACAGCCTTTCTTACATGTTTGGAAGGGATTATATTTCCAGCCATTTATATATTAATTTTTATACATATTTTTGTGCATTTTGATTTGAAAAGAGTAAGCCAATGAATACACAGCTAAAAACTAAGGAAACCCAAATGCTTAGAACCAAAACCAAAGAACCCTTGGTTCTTTTTTCCACAACCTCAATGTGATTTTACAGGAATTTATGAATAGAAGAACATACCTAGAATCACAGGTAAACTTTCTTTTCCTTGCTGGGCGTCTAGACTTTCTAAGATTCCAAAGTATAACATGGTGGTAGAATCAGCAGTATTTCTGTTCTGACTAGAGACCACAGGGATTACATCCATTGCATGGTTAATTATATTTGTCTCAAGAGAAATTTGTTCAGAAACAACAATGAAAGTTCAATGTACTACTGGGTTTTCATTTTTTGAGTACATACTCCAGAAATAATCTATTGTTTGGTTATATCACTTAAGCTTGCATAATATGCAAAACTAAAGTTTCTAGGGGATTTTCACTATGCCATTACACTAATTATTGAACTTTATGGATATTTGCCATAATAATCTTCTTTAAGCTCTTCAAATGGGCAGTGACTGCTCAGGACTTTTTTTTTAAAGATTTTATTTATTTATTTTTAGAGAAGGAAGGGAGGGAGAAAGAGAGAGAGAGAAACATCAATGTGCTGTTGCTGGGGGTCATGGCTTGCAACCCAGGCATGTACCCTGAGTGGGAATCAAACCTGTGACACTTTGGTTCACAGCCCACGCTCAATCCACTGAGTTACGCCAGCCAGGTGGACTTTTTAATATCAATAGGCATAGTAAAGGACACAAGTTAGTCTCCATAACCCCACAGGCAGCATTCACTTTATTCATTTTCTGTGATTAAGTTGTTAGTAGTATAAATAAATAGGCCTGATGAGGGAAAATTCTAAGTTTCCAATGGAATTAATTAAAATAATTGATCAAAAATATGAAAATTGTTTTTTATCATTGTCTACAGAAATAAAACAATTGCTGCAGCTATTCAGGGTCATTTATGGTTTCATATACATTTTTGAAGTGTTTGTTCTATATCTGTGAAATATGTCATTGGTACTTTAATAGAGATTGTGTTGAATCTATAAATAGGTTTGGGTAGTATGGACATTCTCATGATGTTAATTCTTCCAATCCATCAACATGGTACATAATTCCATTTGTTTGTGTCTTCCTTAATTTCTTTCTTCAGTGCTGTGTAGTTTTCTGAATACAATAAAAAAAGAGAGATAAAAATAAAGCTCTTTCTTTCTCAAGGCTCCCCATTGCTTTAAGCAGAATATACTTTTTAATCTACTCTTTTTATGCTTTATTGAAGTTTAATTGACAAAATTGTATATATTTAAACTGTACAACATGATCATTTGATATATATGTATATATACATTGTAAAATGACTATCACAATCAGTTTACTGACCATATCCATCACCTCACATGGTTATTTTTTGCATGTGTGATAAAGCACACGCAAAAAATAGGATCTTAGGATCTACACTTTTAGCAAATTTCTAGTATGCAGTGCAGTGTTATTAATTATAGTCACTATACATTCAATTCTCAGAACTTATTTGTCCTATAACTGAAGGCTTGAACCCTTTGATCAGCATCTCACTATTTTCCCCACCTCTTGGCCTATTTTACTCTGTTTTTAAAGATTCATTTTTAGATTACATTTATTAATGAGATTGCATAGTATATGTGTTTATGTATCTGGCTTATTTCACTTATTTCAGTTATGTCTTGTAGATTCACCCGTGTTGTCACAAATGACAAGATTTCCTTTTTATGACTGAATAATATTCCTTTTTGGCATTGGTCTTGGAGATGCTTTTTTGATATGACACCAAAAGCACAGGTGACAAAAGCAAATATAAACAAGTGGTTAATTTTTATTATGTAGTGGTCTACATGAAACAAGAATGTTTCTACACAGCAAAGGATATAATTAACAAAAATAAGAGACAGCTTGTGGAATGGCAACAATATTTGCAAATCATGTATCCCCATCTAATAAGGGGATAATATACAAAATACATAATGAACTAGTGCACATCAATAGCACAAGAGAAATAATGCAGTCAAATAATGGGCAGAAAACTTGAATAGATATTTTTCCAAAGAAGACATACAAATGGACAACAGTACATGAAAAGATACTTAACATCCCTAATCATCAAAGACATGCAAATCAAAACCACTTGACATCACTGCACATATGTTAGGACAGATATTAACAAAAAGACAAAAGATAAGTACTGCTAAGGACTTGAGAAAGGGAATTCTTATACACTATTAGTTAAAATTTAAACTGATACAGCTATTATAGAAAACAGCTTGGAAGTTCCTAAAAAAATTGAACTAGAACTCCCATAGGATCTAGCTATCCTACTTCTGAGTACATATCTGAAGGAAATAAAATTGATATCTTGAATAAATATCTGTACCTCATGTTCATTGCAGCATAGCCAAGTTATTTAAATGACCTAAGTGTTCATCTTTGATATTTTTGTAAAATATTAGTAAAAAAAAAAAAGCTGATACTATATTTCTTAATTTCCATCTGTACTTGGGTTGAGTGTTTCTCAAACTAGTTTTGAAACTAGAGCACAATATTAAAAAATGGGCAACAGACCTGAACAGACACTTCCCCATGGAAGACATACAGAGGGACATATGAAAAGATGCTCAGCATATGAAAAGATGCTCAGCATAACTAGCCATCAGAGATGCAAATTAAAACCACAGTGAGATACCACTTCATACTGGTCAGAATGGCCATCATAAACAAGTCAACAAACAAGTGTTGGAGAGAATGTGGAGAAAAAGGAACACTAGTGCACTGTCAGTGGGAATACAGACTGGTGCAGCCACTGTGGAAAACAGCATGGAATTTCCTCAGAAAACTAAAAATGAAACTGCCTTGTGACCCAGCAGTTCTGCTGCTGGGACAATATCTTAAGAACCCTGAAACACCAACCCAAAAGAACCTATGCACCTCAATGTTCATAGCAGCACAATTTACAATAGCCAAGTGCAGGAAGCAATTAAGTGTCCATCAATAAATGAATGGATCAAAAAATATGGTATATTTCCATGATGGAATACAACACAGCACAAAGAAAGAAGGAGCTCCTACCCTTTGCAACCACATGGATGGAACTGGAGCGTATTATGTTAAGTGAAATAGGGCAGGTGATGAAAGACAATTACCGTATGATCTCACTTTTAAGTGAAACCTAATCAACAAAACAAACAAACAAGCAAAATATAACCAGAGACATTGAAATTAAGAACAATCTGACAGTAACCAGAGGGGAGGTGAGAGGGGATAATGTGGGGGAAAGCAGGGAAGGGTCTTTAGGAACAACTATAAAGGACACATGGAAAAAATCAAGGAGGGGGAGGAATCAGGGGAGGGAGGTGGGGATGGCTGGGGTTGGGGGAAAGGTGGAGAGTAAATGCAGACAACTGTACTTGAACAACAATAAAATAAAAATAATAATAATAAAAGGAAAAAATAACATGAAATATATGTTTGGATATAGGATATCAAGAGAAAAGTCAGGTCATTGTCTCCTTATTTTCTGACTGGAATATCTATCCATTGAAGTCAATGGGGTATTAAAATCCACAGCTATGACTGTATTTCTGTCAATGTCTCTTTTTATTTCCAAGATTTGCTTTACTTATTTAGGTGCTAGTATGTTGGGTATGTAAATGTTTACTAGGGTTATATCCTCTCATTGGATTGTTTTCTTTATCTTTATGTAGTGTCCTTCTTTGTCTCTTACTATATCCTTGGTTTTAAAGTATTTTGTCAGATGTAAGTACTGCTACCCCAGCTTTTTTCTATTTCATTTGTATGAAATATCTTTTTCCAACCCTTTACTTTTAGTCTGTGTGTATCTTTCTGTCTGAGATGGGCCTCTCGAAGGCAGCATATATATGGGTCTTGTATTCCTACTATTCAGCTACCTTATATTTTTTGGCTGGAGCATTTAATGTATTTACATTTAAAGTGATTATTGATAGATACATATGTAGTTCCATTGTATTGTTGGACTGTTTTCCTCTGGTTTTTTTTTCTTTCCATTTTTTCTTTTTCTTCTTCTGCTTCTGAAAGCAAGCCCTCTAACATTTGTTGTAGTAATGGTTTGGTGTTAACAAACTCCTTTAGCTTTTTCTTGTCTGAGAAGCTCCTTATTTATCCTTTGATTTTAAATGATAGCCTTGTTGGATAAAATAGTCTTGGTTGTAGGTCCTTGGTTTTCAACACCTTGAATATTTCATGTTACTCCATTCTGTGCTGAAATGTTTCTGATGAGTAATCAGATGACAGTCTAATTCTTGTTCCTTTGTAGGTACCTACCTCCTTTTCTCTTGTACCTTTTAGGATTCTCTTTTTGTCTTTAAGCCTTGTTATTTTAATTATGAAGTGCCTTGGTGTAAGACTCTTTAAGTTCATCTTGTTTGGGACTCTCTGAGCTTTCTGGATTTGTGTCTTTTTTCTTCACCAGATTAGGGAAGTGTTTAGTCATTATTTCTTCAAACAGGTTCTAGACCCTGTGCTCACTCTCTGCTTCTGGTATTCCCATGATGTG